CATACAGTACAAATATTTATAATAAACTTTTCTTTAAATATTATTAGTAACTATATGTTAATTATATTTATGTGTAAAATATATTCGTGTAATAACGTAATTAGAGAGATTTGAACGTAGTTTCATATTACTCAACATAAGAGAGAAAAAGAGAAAAAGTCAAAGAAAATTCCGTTGAAAAGTGAAGCACATTGTGTCTCCGTGGGATCCAAACGCTTATAAATGAAGATTTTACTGTTGTTGTTCCTAATAGCAATAGTAAAAAATATTGTAGCAGGAGGCCTGACCCTTGAACGTGATGACCCACCATGGTATCCATATGCTCTGGCGCCCACGAACCAGCCCCCATATACTGGTAAATACGAGCTGTATAATGCTGACACAACGAAAAATATTACTAAAACGCATGGGTCGTCACGCGGGTGATCAAAGACCGCAATCCCCAGTGAGGAAGCAGAAAGGATCGAAACGTCTGCAACTGGGACAAAGTCTACCCAACAAGAACTAGAGGAACACCACGCCGAGGACAGTACTCAAAGATGCCCTCTATAGTCATTAAAAGAAAATTCCACAAAAAGAACAATAAATAAATCGTCTAAGGAAGAATATATTGATGTAATGATAGCCTTTTACATCGCTACGATAATCAGACAACGACTAAAGCCGCCTATAATATCTAGCGAGAAAAAATCTAAAAACTAAACATCGATGCCAACAAAATAGCCAATGTCAGATGTGACATCATCAGTAAAAAAAGAAAAGAAAAAGTATACCTGACATAGAACTCGAAGTCATCCGAGAAATCATTAAAAATAGATTAAACGTTAAAATCGAGAGGTTAAATGTCAAACCCCATAGGAGATACATACAGAGGAACAACTAGAAACCAGTTGTAATAATCCCTCTGAAGTATACAAGCAAATAGCAGAAGATAATAACGAATATGAGAGAGAAACAGAGATGATAAAAACATCCGATATAAATGGGAGAATGTAAAGGAAATGTTTTCGAGGAAATGGTAACAATTCCAAAAATAAGAAATAATCGTCAAGTGAAGGAAACAGTTAACCTTGCTAATGAAGGAATTAGAAAAATAAGGGACAAATTGGAAAGACCGATGAAGCAGACAAAAATTAATTATCTTATACACATGGTCTCGGCAACGATCACAGAATCAATAGGTGACAAATTAAAAACACAACATAAACGAAAAACGGAAAATTCCAGTTTGAAAAGAAAAATAGAAGCCGAAATAAATAAACTTCGAGAACAATTTTCACTGATAAATGAAGTAGACATGGGCTCCAAAATGAAAGGGGAAAAAAGGAAACAACTAAAATGAAGCCTCGACATAAAGAATAAGACTGACGTACCAAAAATGAAAGAGAAGCTAAAAAAACACATTCAAGCTAAGGCACAGAAAATCAGGCGTTATGAAAGAAGAAAAAGATTCTTCTGACAAAAAAAAAACTGCAAAGAAGTTGCCAAGAAACTATATGGAGAACTGTGAAAAATAAAATAGAGGTAAATGACCCATCTAGTATCCAGAAAGTCGAGTAGTTCTGGTGTACGACGTTGGAAAACTGCAAAATGCATAATGAAAGTGCGACATGGATCAAGCAGAAACAGGAACAACACAAACGTATAGAATGCCAAAAATGGACGGATATTAATATTACTGAAACAACTGCCGCCATCTGCAAAAGCCCAAACTAGAAAGCATAATTTTTGGATAAAAAAAATTCTAGCACCCATTATGTCCTTGCAAGGCCATAAAATGATATAATCATAAACCAGAAAAATGCCCCAAATGGCTCACGTGGGAAGTAACATACCTACTCCAAAAAACAGAAGAGACGCAGAAACCCGAAGAACTATAGGCCCATCACCTGCCTACCAACAATCTACAGGATCCTCTCTTCTACGATAATCGAGAGGAAATACAAGAGAAAAATAATTTAATCCTAGCAGAAGATAAGGGATGTAAAAGCATAAGTTATGGGTGCAAGGACCAACTAATTATCAATAAAATAATATTGGGAGAGGTAAAAACAGGGAAAGAAATTTATTGATAGCATGGATCGACTACAGAAAGGCGTTCGACGGTGTTCCACACTCATGGATATAAAAGAGCTTAAAGATATACAGAGTATTGCCCCACAACTGTCAAATTCATAACGGAAAGCATGAAAAACTGGAAGACTACACTAAACCTAAACCATACAAACGGGTCATTAACATCGAAATCAGTTAACATCAAAAGCGGAATCTTCCAAGATGATTCAATGTCACAACTACTTTTGCAATGTATTAGCGCCACCCAACTACCTACTGAACAACAGTTACTACGGATACAAGTCATAGAATGGGAAACTGAATCACCTATTCTATAAAGAGGATCGTAAAACGTTTGCCAAAGATGACAACCAGCAGAAAAACTTACCATTGTCAAAACCTTCAGCGAGGACATTAGGATGGAGTTCGGAATCGACAAATGTACAAAAGCCACTTTCGAAAGCTGTAAACTAACCAAAACTACAGATTTAGAACTTGATATCAACAACAAGATTAAGGAACTAGACCATGGTGGTCTGTATCTATTTAAAATATGTGCGTTGTTTTTTTCAAAATTGCTCAGTGGAAAATGTCATGATGCCATTTCTGAGATTAGGTCTCTGGTAGGGACCCGGAAAGAAAGAAATATACATCAGAAACCAAAGAAAATAAAACAATAATAATAATAATGCAATATATGGAAAAATTTGACCAGAAAGAATACAGAAATAATAATAAGTCGATAGGGGGGGAGGTAATCCACTGAGAATTATGAAAGCGATTATATTTAATCCATACGTAAAGATATATTCACAGATCAGAATTTATAATAGAGAAACATGAAAGATAAGAATAAATGAGATACAGGGATTCGAATATAACACCCCAGTCCAGGCATGAAGCCTGGATCTGTTTGTGTAGAGAAAAATGGTGATGAGGGGGGGGGGGGGCTCAAACAGTGAAGTGTGTGGCTCTCTTTCCCAGCTGTTACGCTGGGCAGTTGTGAAACAGACACCAAACTCAGCCGCACCTATTTCAACTTCCTTTTTCTCCGTTTGACAATCCTTACGTCCAGCTCTCTTGCACGCTGTCTGCCGAGTGACTTTGGTCCTGTCATGCTGCTGGCACCCCGCTTTTTATGCTATTCCAATACGACCAAAATTTTCATGTGTGCAAATATCGTCTTGTTTTGGACGAGATAGGCGAGCATCAATTGTGTCTTCAAAAGCGGCCATATTTCTTTTTGTCATCACTTTGCAGACAAGACACGCTTGCGTTCGTTTCGAATTCTGAGGTAAGTCATGTCTTTTGTCACAGTTTAACATCGACAAAAAAAACCCAGATCAACAGTAGATCTTGCTATTACTAAAGATTACAGAGTATATCTGAAATTGTATCTCAACATTTACAGAGGTGTGGGACATGAATACAGAAGTTGTCAGATTAGTGGAGTTGGAAACAACTTCAAGAAATTTAGGAAAAAATCTTGTGCAGGATTGGAAATCAAAATAAATATCGGGTTATCCAGATAACAACAACATTCCAGAAAAATGCTTCAGAAAACGCTCCTCCGACCGCTCGACCTCTGGTGGCTCAGTGGTTTGAATCATATACTTGTAAGATTCAATATGCCAAAAAGCAAACTAGTAACATTCCAGCACAACAGAGCAGACCCCAAACTTTCAACTCTCATGATGGATGGGTGTTTTCTCAATTAGACTTCATTGCTCGTATGTCTGTTGGGAATAAAGTTCTCTCCAAACCTCAAATGGAACTCATATATCCAGTCTATTGCTAAAGATGCTGGAAAAAATACCTGATTCTTTGCCCCACTCCTGTAAAGATTTGATTCCCTCTGTTATACTCTATCTTTACAAAATTCAGACCAGACCGAAAATGGAACATTGCTGCCATATCTGGATTGGTACTGCTCAGTCCTCTAATACATGTCTCGATAGAGTTCAAAATCATCTACGTGGTATTGTAGGTAATGAGTTATTTTCTACTCTACAACTCTTTACGGATAGACGAAATGTTGTGAAACTTTCTTGCCCTTCGCTATTTCCATGGATTGCTCTGTCGTTATTTTCCATGGATTGTGTTCTGATGAGTCCCACAAGCCCTGATCTTTTCAATTGGGATCTAATATGCCACATCCACAAGAGGGAATCATCTCCATTCCCTTCGTATTCCAAAAGTAAGTTCCGTTCGGACAAATTCTTCCAAATAACTACTGCTTTGTGGAACAGACTCCTGGTAGGATCTTTTCCCAATTTTGACCACTTAAAGTCTCAATATAAGCATTATCTTTCCTGAATAACCATTTGAACTTCACTTCTTGTCTTTTCTTGCGCTCACACAACACCACACATAAGCATATAATTCGAGTGGCTCTTGAGCCTAGTAATTGATGAACATTAGTATAAAAAATCAAGACGAGTAATGGAATATTAATAAAACTTCTCACTTAATCTGTAGTGTAATCCATCATTTACTGGATGGATAGAAAAATATGTGATAGAGAATAACTTTATTATAAAGAAGTGTGTATATGTGCGTGCATGCGTGAGAACTAGAAGTGAAGTTTAACATTAATGTACACGCTTTCGCATAGCAAATGCGCCCATGTTTCCTTAAAAGAACAAAATAGCATCAACAGGAACGCCAAATAAAAGCTCTTTTCATTCGCTTGTTTTCTCTTTCTCGGCATGAAATTCACGAAGTGGTTTTATTTTCGCATTTTGCTGTGTATATTATCTTCACTGTCATAACACTTCGTTTGTTTTGATAAGTTTATAACCCGAAGCATGTTTGGGGGAGAATAGGAGAAAATAGTTGCAACATGTGGTGCGCCGTTGGGAACAGGCGCTGTTGTTACAGGTCTTGTTGCAGACATCAGGATTGTTTTTGGTTTCTTTCAGTTCCATAAAGAAGATTATTGAAACCTGTAGATAACGCATATGGAGAGGGAAATAAATTAGCTGTAATGAGGAAGTGTTTGATAGGTAGATATATATAGATAGAGAGGGAAATCATAGACAGAGAGAAAAAAAAACAGAGGGGAAAAGGGAGAATGAACAGGTTGGTTGTCTGAGGCAGAGTGATTATTTTGAAGGTACTCTCGAAGACTATCGATCCATCGAAACATCTGCCTAATGAAAGAAAGAAAGTCAGTATTTGTCTATATGAGATGAGGTATTATGTATAATATTTACAAGGACACATGGCACAGTGGATAAAGGCGTTAGTTAGATTCAGTGAAGGGACCCAAAGAGTGTAAGTTCAATACCTGATTAAGGCGGCGGAGAGGGGAATTAACAGGATATAACTGATAACTGACATCCATTAGACATTGTACGTGGAACTAGAACAGTCTACCCCAGTGAGCGAAATAAAGGGTTCGACATTCCAAACACCTGAAGAAGACCGGAGCATATAACGACCGAAACGTTGTAATGAATATGGCGACAAAGATGAAGACAATAATGTGAACAGTGAAAAAAAGACACATTTTCTTTCACAAAGTATTGGATAAACCAGATCAGTAGATGTTAGTTTCGCTGTGAACACCCACCAAAAAACAAGGCTACAACTCAAACACGTGGCCCCACTGAATAAATTACAACGTTCTGACGTCTGTAATAAGAAATAATGTCGGATTTAAAAAACTATTAATTGCATATAATGGATTATATATATATATATATATATATATATATATATATATATATATATATATATATATATATATATATAATATATAAAATTTATTACAGCAAAAAACATTACTGGCCAGTAATTTACAATCGCCTGAAGAGGAATAGTATTCCTCTACTATGTACTGAGCCCTCTTTTAAATTAAATATTACGAACGTTGGAAATGTACTCTATTCGTTCTTATCGTATCTGTATATATATATATATAAAGAGAGAGAAAGACAGTGAGTGAGTTTAAGGCCAACAACAAGCGACGACAGTTTGTTTCGGGTTATAATTTTATATTTATATATGCTCTATTTCCAATATTCATTACTTTTAACTATAAATAAACCCTAAAACTATATTTTTGTCATATATATATATAAATACGTTTCTCTGATTACAATGAGTTTTCAAAATTGTGCCATATATATATATATGTATGTGTGTGCGTGTGTAAGATTAAGGTATGCTATATTTATAGTCCGACGATTGCGTTTAACATGAAACAGACTCTCTATATATAAATAGCAGGACAGACTGTTTTTTCTACATAAATATGAGGGAGAAGAGAGAGAGAGAGAGAGAGAGAGAGAGAGAGAGAACGAAATATGGCCGTAGGTATTTTTTTTTAGGTGGGGACGTCTGTGTCGTTATTGTATTTTGGTCATATGCAGGATAATTTGTGGACCTCGACATGGTGTAATGGTTAACAAGCATGTTTCTCTAGAACAATTACGAGTGATTTCGACCCTCACTGAGTGCCTCATATTTTCGGCCTCCCCCTAGAAATTCAACATATGCGGATTAATTCCCTTTTATTTCGTTTTATTCTTGTTTAATCCACATTTTTCTTTCGAGAGACTTCTTAAAAAATTCAATTTCAAACACATGTGAGCGTGTGTATGTGTTTGTATGCGTGGAGAAATATCAGTCTCTTTTCACTTCCTATCTAAATTTGGGATTTTTCTCGCCAATTCTATCCAAATCTGTGTAAATATGTCTGTATGTCAGTAAGTCTATAAAGAGAAATAGCGGTTCATTATTTCTTCTTCATCTTCTCGCACATCATTATTAAAGATAATCACTCTTCTTACTCCTAAATCTGCGACTTTCAGGTCGTTACAGCTTAAGAAAGAATTACGAACACAAGCGCATACATAAACAGTGCTGGCTATGACAATATTTCGTAAAATAGATCTTTTCGATAAAGAGAAGAAAGTCGTCAGTGATGTGATATTCCTGGGTATCTCTAAGATTTTGGTTCTCTCAACATCGTATTCTTTCCTGGTCGAGCCCTGATTCTTCTCACAGCGACAGGCTTTTACAAATTTCACCTCCATTTTGTTATTGGTAAATTTTGACCTTAGGTGGTTCCGTACTTTTACACGTTTTAGTCACGTTTACTTTTAGCCAATGACGTTTGCGTTCTACTCGACCGTTATATTTATGTAAGCTTTTTCGTGCCAATTTAATTACCACGATAATAATGCACGGGTAAGTTTGTTTCTTTTTTATCTACGCTATTTTTCTTGTTAAACCTTGTCTGCACTTTTATCGCACACACACCCACACACACAAAATATAATAATTAAAAAAATTCCTAATGGTTAGGTTAAATAAAGCTATTATTTACATAATAGACAATAACCAATTGACACAACCATTCCGCCCACAAACAAACGACTGGTTCACTATTTACATTATTCAGACTATTGTCCACATCTTTGTCGTCATGTTTGTCACAACGTTTCGGCCGTTGTACGCTCCAGCCTTCTTCAGGTGGATGGAATGTCGAACGGAACCTTTTATTTCGCTTATTGGGGTAGATTGTTCTAGTTCCACGTGCCACATCTAATGGATGCCGGGTATCAGTTATCTCCTGTTAATTCCCCTCTTCAAGTTTTCCACCGCCTTAACCAGGTATTGAACTCACACTCTTTTGGGTCCTGTCACTGGATCTAACTAACGCCTTTATCCACTGTGCCATGTGTCCTTTTGGACATCTGTGTATGAATTTCTGGGTATTACAAACCTAATGTCTTCAGCAACCATTTTTTTACCAGTGCTCATATTGCAATTTTTGCTGTTATCATTGCATGTTTTTTTTACCAGAGCTCATATTGCAATTTTTGTTGTTACTATCACTTTTCTCTGGCACTCCTTATTACTGGTTCCCATATTGTATTCATTTCTATGCTTGGCCGGCTCAGGAGATATTTGTGGCCTAGCATATGTGCTGATTCCTTAAGTTTACAAATGTTTACATGTTCTTTGTCTATGACCTCAACTTGATCCCACAGAGGGTGGTGATCTCCCTTTTCTTTCCATATGTGATCAGCCATGCCTGATTTTTCCACTTCCCCTCGTTTTACAGTTTTCTGGTGTTCTTGAAACCTTACCTTACCTGTCTCCCCTTTATATTTTTTTCCGCATCTACACGGGATAGCGTACACACAGTCTTTAGTCATGTTCTCCTCTATGGGGGGGTCTTACTTGGGAGAGATATCTGCGAAGGTAAGGTTTCAAAAAAGAAAGAAAAAAGAAAACTGTAACACGAGGACATCTGTAGATCTTTTCAGATAAGAATAATAAAGAATTTGATCAAATCATTATTTAAACATAATATTGAAAAAAGAAGGGTGATTTGATTTTATTTCAGCATCAGAGCTAAATGCCGTGTAAGTGTCTCTAGTTTCAACAAATTTTGCTTTGTTCAATTTCTTGTTACCAAAGCAAATCTGCTTATTGAAAGGAAGAGGAGTAAGCAAACTTCTATCTTCCATGAGAAGCAACTTTTCAATCAGGCATTTGAACATCAGACATTCATTGGACATTAGTCTCTTCTTTAACCGCTAAACTTCGCCTGCTACCTGAGAATTTTTCTGTAAACAAGTTTGCGTGATGTTTTGGCGGAAGAGACAAGCTGATCAGCACTGAAATATCTTGGATTACAATCGTAGGATTTTTCTAAGATCTTTGATCGAATCTTTCAATTGAACCATAGATGCTCTTCTGTATCAGATGCACATTGCAGAATTGCTTCAAGTTTGAATGAAAATATTATTACTATTCTAAAGATCACTTTATATTGACTTAAATGGTAGAACTGTTTTTCATTTAGCTTTGTAAATTAATATTTACAGCATATATATATATATATATATATATATATATATATATATATATATATATATATATGAGAGAGAGAGAGTAAAATAATAGTGATAATACGCATATACGTATATTAGGGTGGATCAAAATTATGTATTTTCTTTTTTTTGTTCAACTATTTGCCATTTACACTACTATTGTCCATATATTTTTGCCATATTCACTTTTGGACCATTGTATTCTCAGGCCTTCTTCGAACTGAACCCTTTACTTTGCACACTGGGGTAGATTGTTTCAGTTCCACGTGTCAGTTCTCTCCCTTTAGCTCAACTCTCCAAGTTTTTGTTGACCACTACAATAACCAGGTATTGAACTCACAACTATTTGGGTCAAGTCACCAACACCTTTTTTTTCCACTGGGTCATCGGTGTATGACTTAAAACCATTATTCTTACCAGAGCTCATATTGCAATTTATGTTGTTATTATTGCTTATCTCTACCACTCCTTATTGCTGGTTTCCATATTGTATTAATTTCTATGCTTGACTCGCTTAGGAGATTTTTGTGGCCTAGCATATGTGCTGAGTTTTCGTATTTTCCAGTGATGTTCTCTGTCTATTATTTCAACCTCATTCCACAGAGAGCTGTCATATCTCTTTTCCCTCCATATTTGGTCAGCTATGCCTGATTTTTCTATTCCCCCTCTTGTTACGGCTTTACGATATTCTTGCAGTCTTAGCTTAAGGGGCATCCTATTTCTTTATATTTCTTACCACAGCTGCACGGGATGGCGTACGCACAGTCCTTAGTCATGTTCTCCTCTCTGGGGAGTGGGCGTCTTACTCGGAAGAGATATCTGGAAGTGTTGAACGACATTTGAAGGCCGTCCTGATGTTCTATTGCTCTTTTGTATTTTTTCTGATAAACCCTTCACATACTGTAGTCAGACGGAAGCTGTTTTTGAGCTTTATTATACTCTTTACCCTTCTATCCCAGTTTGTCGGAGCTACTGCCATGTACTCCGGGTAGTTGTTACGTTGTAGGGTACTGATTATACTGACCACTTCCTGTTCAAATGTCACTTATGACATAGGTCAACACTTATGTTATAGTGGAACACACCTATTCTAGACTTAATAGACTCTCCCACCTATAATAAGTAGTAGTAGTAAGAGTAACGGGGCAGTCGCTCAGTGGTTCGGTCTGAGTTCAATCTGAAGTCGGACGACCGGCTGACCAGTTGAACTCTCTGCCTTCGGGCGGGGAGGAACCCGAACGAGGCTACGCCGAAGGGCGAAGTCTCTTTCGGGGAGGTAAACCGACCCTGAACCCGTTTATACGGGTTCAATGGGCATATTTTTGGCCGAGCCCACGGGCTCAGAGATCCCACGTTAAACCGGCCTTGTGCCACATGATGACCAGGTGGAGGGTGAATAAATACCGTCGCTTAGTGGGTCGGTCAGTCAGACGATGCCGGACGACCGTTAGTCGGATACTATAGTATCAGCGACCACAACTAGATTACTCTACGTTATACCTATTATATCAAGTTCCTAACGTTTTGTACGTCGAACCTATTTTAGGACCGACTTAGTACAAATACAAGCCTCCACTGTGAAACCCCTCCATAACAACTTATGACTTTTACTCGATGTTGTAAGCAGAGGAAGATCCCTTTCTTTACACTGTGCGGGTGTTAGGAGTTGAAGTTGCTATTTTCCGGTGAATCTAGGCTTGCGGTATACGGATGTCTTGAACCCATGCTCTATTCGAGATATTAGTACATCCAGGAATGCTAGTTTTTTTTATTTTCTCTCTCCATATTGAACTGTATCGATGATCTTATTGAGTTCACATGGTCCAGTAGTCGCTGGACCTCTTCCTGGTGGGGTCAGAGTATAAAGGTGTCATCTGCGTACCTCAGACTTAGGGTTGGTTTTAGTGATCTGGATTCTAATGCCATTTCTTCAAAGTATTCCATGTATATGTTTACCATTGCTGGTGATAATGGTGAGCTCATCACTAAGCCCACCTCCTGACGATATATGTCTGATCCCATTCCGAAGTGTGTTGTTTATGTACAGAAAACCATCAGCTCAAGTTCTGTATTGATATACTGGTCCGTTCTCCTTGGGAGGGGCTCGAGGCCATTTTGTCTCTGACTACCGAAAGTGCCTCCTCCGTGGGTAACTTGGTAAACAAACAAACCATCTGGTTGAATTGGATAGGGGCATCTATTACCACGAAGTGGGCGGAGTTTCGGACATATGAAGGTGACTATCCTATTAGTGTGTCACTTGTATCTATGAGGAAGTGGCTCAGAGGGTGGTACACATACTTGGCAGCTAACAAGAGGCCTGAGTGGAATGCTGTCTTTGTGAATTTTGGCGAGACCGTATATGTGATGTGACACCATGCATACCTGACGAGCTGAGAGAAATATTCATAGATATATGATTTGTTTTTTACGGTTTGTCAACCATCTAATAATTATTTAAGGCCAAAAAATATTTTGGGTTTTAAGAATAATTCTTTCTTTACATTCAAGCGATCTGGGAGAAAGAAAGAGGAAAGCGAAGAAGAAAGAAAGAAAAAATAATACGAAAACAGGTCATAGGCGAGCACATACACGCACGGCTAACAGATAACAGGTGTCGAAAAATATTCAGGTCAAGCATCTGACCGATTTCCGCGGATCCGCGAAAAATGGAAGTGTGTTATCAATTGGTTGTCACCCAAAGGAAAAGAAGAAACGAAGTTTAGGGACAATGAAAATATTGATAAGTAACAAGTGGAAAGTGTGTCATTGGAATGATAGTAAAGGTCTAAGTGGGTGGGGAAGTGTATCTAAGAATATGAAGACAAACCATTAATACGAAAACAGTCTTCAGAATTAGAAAAAGCCACACAAGGTGGTCACTGAAATTTTTTTTTTTTGAGATAATAAAGATTTTTATTATCAGACCTTCGGGCGGAGGGAAAATGAAATATTTTTATTCCGTTTCAGAAACGCCAACGAGTCTGAGAAATTCCTTTCTTAGATCATATCCAATTAGCGATAAACTGCTTGACAAATACCACGTGTTAAAAAGCCGAAGGTGTCATCTCAGTCGCTCATGATAAGGGCGATTTAAATTAATATTTTTGTTTTTTAAGCAAGGTATTTCTTTCCCAAAACAAAGCCACGGATTGTCCACGCCCGACTAAAGACGTCATTGGCTAAATAAG